TCTCTGTTAGGGCTCCCGACGTGAGGGGCACTAGGCCGTCGCAGCCGCAGAATGCGGGAAACCCACAGAGACCGAGCTCAGATTGGCTGTAGGGTTTAGGGTTTAGGGTTTAGGGGTTTAGGGTTTAGGGATTGGGGCCCATCATACTAAGTGCAACAGGGAACCACCAAAATAGTATAATAGGTAATTATTGTGGCCCCTATATCATAGTACAATATTATAAATTGAGCTTCTTAGAAATTAAGTTGAAATGCTTAGGGGGGGATTTAGGGTTTAGAGTTTATCAGTTAGTGCGGGTGTACGATTTGAAAAGCACGGTCTAGTTTGCTGTTAAGGTTTTGCGCTGTGTAAGTTGTAGGGCTTAAGGTCTACGGTTCAAGGTGCAAAGTTGAGCGGTGCGCAATGTTATCCCGCGACACTGAAACTCCTCAAACCCGAGCTGCTTACGACCGAGTCAATCCAAGGGTAAAAGGAGGGACCCTTAATAAGGACCCCTAGGTATATACCCTTAATATAGCTATTATATACCCATTATATAGCCATTATATAGCCCATTATAGGGTAGGGGTCCCCATTAAGGGTCCCTCCTTTTCCCCTTTGAGTCAATCCGAGGCTCAGTCTCCCGAATGCTACGAGTTTGATCTGTCGATTGGCAGAGCCGGGGGCCCTGTACCAAGAAGGCTGACATACGGTTTAAGGCTTCGGGTTTAGGGTTTTGGGGTTTAGGGTTTAGGATTTTGGATTTAGGGTTTAGGATTTAGGGTTTAGGGTTTGGGATTTAGGGTTTAGGGTTTAGGGTCCGAAAACTTCTTCACACAGCTTTCGCGGGATTCTCGCTCTACCTACTCGGCTGCCGGCAAAGACCGGTCAACAGGATGACTCATTCTTGTTCAAGATCAAAGGCGATTCCTTCTGAATCCTTAAAAAAGCCTATAGACCCTATCATCTACAAACCCTAGAAACAAATCACAGAGCGGCATTAATACAATTCGAATGGTTTGTTCAGGGTCGATATTATGGGTGGCTGTCAAAATTATGGTCCCTGTTGGGTCCCTATTATAATACGGCACCTAATATTTAGGGTACCCAAAAATGGACCCTAATTTTGACAACCACCCATATATTTCAATACAACTATTGACATTGGTAAGTATCCCAGCTTCTGTGATAATCTTTCAACCCAAGGTAGTCCAGCCCGAGCTTTTTCGTGAAACTCAGATGGCCCACAAGCCCTGAACATGAGCCTCGGAAAACCCCAAGTAGCCTTATAAGAACCCTAAACAGCCCCTCTAAAGCATTATAAACCCTGGAACCGTATAAGGCTTCTACAATCCCTCTAAAACCATTATACAACCCTTACCTTAGTTGCTGAGTTCATAAGCCCCCCAAAAATGTAGACTTTCAGTTTTGTAGTGAAAAATATTATCCCAAAAAGTGTACAGTGTATCCACTCAGCTATTACGTATACAAACCTTACTAAGTCCTTCTTGACCCCCGCTCATGCGAGGCCGTGCCCGCCGCTGGGCTGGGACTTGGCCTGCGAAGCCTCTGGGCACAACCCAGAGACTCCAATATCCCTTAATTAAGGAACATTCCTTAAATTATAGTAGGATCCCTAATACGATTTAAGGAATATTCCTCAAATTATAGTAGGATCCCTAATATGAGGAATATTCCTTAATTAAGGGATATTGGAGTCTCTGGGGAGCTGAGCTCGCAGCCCAGGGGTAGGGCTGAATCGCGTCTCGAAATCTTATGAACTTGGGTTTAAGGCATAAAGGGAACTTCAGAAAGTTGGAATATGGTTTCAGGGTAGGATACCTTATAATTTACCATAAAGGGTTTAAGATAATCATATTCCAACTTTCTGGCTTTTACTTTAGAGGGTGTAGGGTTTAGGGTTTTGGGCTTGTGGCTTTCTGGGTTTAGGGTCGAATTTAAAACCTTCTACTGATTGTGAGGTGGTATGGTTTGGGGCGCGGCTTTGGGTGGTTTCAGGCGGGTGCTAGGAGGTTTTGGTTTTCGACAATGAGATCCCCTGGAATCCTTAACCTAAACACTCGAAACTCTCGAAGCCGAGGCAAAAAAACGCCAGACACTAAAACCATGAACTATACCCTCCTTAGAACCCTAATAAAAAAAGTAGTTTTAATATTCTCTTGGGTTTCATATGAACAAAAACTGAAAAAAATCCTAAGGAGACTATAGTGAACGCGACACCCCAGATTTTGAAACCAAAAGTGCCACAGCATAGACCGTAAGACCAACATGCTGCGCTCTCAACTACTAAGTCCTAAACCCGACGGTCCGCGACATGGAATTGGTGCTAGTTGCTTCTGTACTTCTTTCGGTTCAGAGTTCTGGGTGTCGTCGCCTCGGTACTACCATCCATGGCCTCACGCAATTTTGGGCTCACGCACCGTTACAAGTAATATAGTGGCCTTAATAATTAGACTCGGGTTTTGTGGTGTAATAAGCAACCGCCGAAAGTAGTGACATTTTAAGCACTCTACTTAGAGGATCATGGGACCTAGCAAGTAGTTTGCAAGTCGAGATATTTGTATCCCATGTTTCGTAAGGACCTTATAATGCACGCCGTCCAGTGTTGTAGGAATCATTTCGAACTCTTACAGGCACCCCTAAAGGGATCCCTGAAAGGAAACCCTTGTAGAACCCTTAAAGGTGCCTCTAAAGGAACCCTTGAAGGAAACGTAGTAGGACCCTCTTATCCAAAAAGTAGATCCCTTAATGGGGTTCCTATAAAATACCCTTAGCAGTATAGGGCCCCGAATTGGGGATCTACTTTCTAGATCCTCCCGGGGTCTGGGTAGGCACCCTGAAGGATCCCATAGAGGCACCTTATTGAAGGAGGCCTCCAAAGAAACTTCAAGGGCTTTGAGTTTAGGGTTTAGAGTTGGGGTTTAGAGTTTAGGGTTTAAAGTTTAGAGTTGAGAGTTTAGAGGTTTCGGGTTTAGAGTTTAGGGTTTAGAGTTTAGGGTTTAGAGTTTAGGGTTTAGAATTTAGGATTTGGAGTTTAAGGTTTAGAGTTTAGGGCAAGTTTAGTGTTTAGAGTTTAAGGTTCAGGGTCTGAGCCCTAACCGCTACTAGAATTCTCGTAGTAACCCTTATAGGGTCTCTGTAGAGGAATATGCCTTTCAAGCTGTCCTGGGAGTCCGAAACCGTCAATACTAATTTCGAGACACAAAGAATTCAGAAATGCTGCGAAAAAACGCGGAGAATCTCCCAGCTTCTTTGACACGAGAGGGCTTCAGGTTTGAGGCTCAGGGCTGTCGGTTTTGGGTTTAGGGTTTGGGATTTAGGGTTTAGGATTTAGGGCTTTCGGTCTTAAGGTTTTGGGTTGAGGCGGTCGAGAGTATAGGCTTTGGACTTTAGCGTTTGAGGTTTAGGGACACGAGTGGTTTGCGCTAGGGGGGGTTGGAGTGAGTCGGAGCAACCTCTTCGACATATGGGAGAAACTGTAAAATCTGCAATCCTGACCAGTGGTTCAAAAACCTTACCTCATGATATTTGGCGCTCTACCTAATTCACATGGCTGCTGAGTTCCAGAAAAAGTTAACCTGAGGCCCCAGAGCCCCAAAGCTAAAAGGTGACCTACTCAACAGCTAGGTAAGTTGGTAAGTTAGATTCCTTTCCTATGGTGTGCTTGGCTCTTTGAGGGCTTCTTGCCCTCTTCGGGGAACTCAAGCTTGAGTCAACGTTTCGCTACAGTTTGGGTTTTTTTGTTGAGGACTATGCGTCTGGGGGTGCGGCTTTAGGGTTTTCAGGGTTTCGGGCTGTGAGGGTTTCATGGTTGGCTTTCGGGTCTAGAGTCTAGGGTTTAAGGCCTGAGGTTCGGGGTTTCATGTACAGGGCTTCGGGTCTCAGAATTAAGGCTTAGGCTGATCAAGCCCCAGCCGAGATCCTACTTGAAGGTTCGCGGGAATTGCTTGGTGATATAGAGGCCTGAAAAAACTGCGTAGGGTTTTCTGGTATGTTATCCTATATAGTTAAAATAATAAGGAACCGGAAGGAAGAATATGGTCAATCATGCTTTCTTGTACATGAGGTTACATGTTGAGCTTCACGGGCCTTAAGAATGGCTGTCTGTTTACAACCCCACCGAAAGTCTACATACCAAGTCCCACGATCCTTCTACTTGGAGGTTCATGGGGAGTTTTAAGTTGACCTCTTCTTAAACCCTAGACCCTAAACCCTATTTTATCAATTAGAGGTTCTACAAACCCTGAACCCGAAACCCTAAAACCGTCACACTACTTCGTTCCAGTGAACGGGGTTTCGGATTTGGGATTTGGGGCCTCGGGGGGGGATTGAGGACTTGGGCTTTTGGATTCTAGTCTTCCGGCGCTCAAGTCGATTACCGCCCTTGGCGGAGACTTGGGCTGGACTCTGGAAGATTCTCCAAGATGCAATGCAAAACACAAGCAGGGTACCCAGAGCCATACCCGATCATCAAGGAAGAAACCCCTTGAAGGGTATCGGTCTCTGGGTAAGGCCCACGGCCCATGATCCAGTTCTTCGTATCAGAAGCCCAGCTTGAGCTGAAGATTAGCGCCGCAGAACCACGAATCGAGAGACGGTGGACCTACCTCGAAGCCTAAACACGAATGCCTAATCGCTAACTCCGAAATCCCAACCCTAAACCCTAAACCATCCCTGGACCTTAACCCTACTCCGAAGCCTGAAGCCCTACAAAGCCTGTTACCCCTCAACACTAATTAAGTCACGAAACCCACCAAAGTTCTTGGGTGATTCACCCTAAACCCTAAACCTAGAAGACCTGGAGCATTCTCTGGGGATGGCCAGAAACACACATAAATGTCAGGATCCCCAAAGCACCACACAGCTGCCCAGAGACTCCAACATCCCTTAATTAAGGAATATACCTTAAACCATATAGATCCCTTTAGAGGAACCCTTAAAGGAGCCCTTATATATTCCTTAATTAAGGGATATTGGAGTCTCTGGCTGCAGCTGGTGGCTCACATGGGTTCTGGCTCGGCTTCGACCTCGACTTCATCGGGAAGTTCGCGAATGTGGACTTGGTCCTGCACCCACACCCCCTTTGGGGGGATCCAAAAAAGTAGATCCCTTAATGGGGGGCTCCTTTAGGGGTTCCTTTAAGGGCCATTTTACGGGAGTTATAGGGTTTTTGGGGGGATTAGGGTTTAGGGTAGATCCCTTAATGGGGGTTCCTATAAAGTACCCTTAGTAGTATAGGGCCCCAAATTAGGAGATCTACATTCTAGATCCTCCCGGGGGTCTGGGGAGGCGTTTCGTGGTCGGGGGTCGCGTGCGCCAGGGCTCTTAAACCGTTTTCCACGTCCGAGCTTCAGGGAGGGTTTACGTGGGGTTTAGGGGTGACGGGTCCCTTTAAGGGGTCTCCCGGTCTCCCTATTACTACCTAGCATTACCTGTAACCCTAAACCCCAAACCTGTAAACTCCAAAGCAACAGAAACACTACAACTCCAAAACATCCCCAGAAAGCTACAAACAAACCCCCACCTCCAAGCCCGGCACTAAACCCTAAACCCTAAAACCCTAAACTTAAACCCCTAAACCCCTAAACCCGATATCCCTAAACCCTAGATCTGGAATCTTGAACCCTCCGTTCATGGGGAGTTATAAGGGCTCCTTTGAGGGTCCCTTTCAAGGGATCTATATGCATTCTATAAGGGTACAGGGTTTAGGGCCTACTTGGAGATTCATGGGTAGCTATAACTGGGGTTGTAAGCAGGGTAACTGTAGTTATAACCCACAGTACGGGACTTACAACTCACACTTTCACTACGCATGAACGTCCACCCTAAACCCTAAACCCTGAACCCTAGACTCTACAAAGCTTGGCCCGACCTCGTCGTCCGAGTCTTCTTCGGCGCACTGGCGGAAGACGTGGGCCAGGCGACAGCCTGCCGAAAGGCGAAATGCGGGAGTGTTTTAGTGTTCCTTTAAGGGTCCCTTTTCAAGGGATCTGTAGGGAATCTATAAGGGTATACTTGGAGGTTCATGAGTAGTTATAAGCGGAGTTATGAGTTCCCATAAAATGGGTTATGGCTATAGTTACCCTAATTACAACCCCACCTGCACCTACCCATGAACATCCAAGTAGGACTTGGGGCTTATCGTCTAGGGTTGAGGGTTCAGGGTGTAGGGAGGATGGAGCTGCACACGTGCTGCAACGGTTTAGGGTTCAGGCGTTTAGGTAGTTTGGGGCTTCAGGGAATTAGGGGGTAAGGGTTTTAGGGTTTAGGGGTTAAGGGGTTTAGGGATTGAGGCTCTGGGTTTAGAGTTCAAAAAATCGGCGGCCTACGGCGTGCCAATCTTTCACGGAGATGGGTTCCTGCTCGAGAAGCTCAGAAGCCAGAGGCCTGGGTGCAGACAAGAAGTAGTAGGTGGGTAAGAAGGCAGGGAGGGAGGTAGGTGGGTAGGTCGGTTAGTGATAGGTAGGTAGGTAGGTAGGTGAGGGTAGGGCTAGGTAGGTAGGCAGGCGGGTAGGTAGGTAGGTAGGTAGGCAGTACTACTAGTAGTAGTCGTAGTACTAGTAGTAGTGGTCGTCGTGGTGGTGGTGGTGGTGGTAAAAGCAGCAACAGCAGCGTAGTTCCTCTACTGCTACTACTACTACTACTACTACTACTTCTACTACTACTACTACTACTACTACTACTACCGCTACCACTACCACTACCACTACCACTACCACTACCACTACCACTACACTACTACTACTACTACTACTACTACTACTACTACTACTACTACTACTACTACTACTACTACTACTACTACTACTACTACTACTACTACCACCTACTACTACTACTACTACTACTACTACTACTACTACTACTACTACTACTACTACTACTACTACTACTACTACTACTACTACTACTACTACTACTACTACTACTACTACTACTACTACTACTACTACTACTACTACTACTACTACTACTACTACTACTACTACTACTACTACTACTACTACTACTACTACTACTACTACTACTACTACTACTACTACTACTACTACTACTACTACTACTACTACTCCTACTGCTACTCTACTGCTACTGCTACTGCTACTGCTACTGCTACTGCTACTACTGCTACTGCTACTGCTACTGCTACTACTGCTACTACTACTACTACTACTACTACTACTGCTACTACTGCTACTGCTACTGCTACTACTGCGAATACTGCGTATACTGCGTACTACTACTACTGCTGCTACTACTACTACTACTGCTACTACTACTACTACTACCACGACGACTACTACTACTACTACCACCACTACTACTACTACTACTACTACTACTACTACCACTACTACCACTACTACTACTACTACTACTACTACTACTACTACGACGACTACACTACTCCTACCACTGGTACGACTAGTACTTCTACTACGACTAGTACGACGAGTACTACTAGTACTACTAACTCTAGGAGGGCTGTTTAGGGTTTAGGGCTTTAGGGTTTCGGGTTCGGGTGTCATTTGGGAGGAGTTTGGGTGTTTGGCTTAGGGTTGTGGGCTTAGGGTTTAGAGCCTAGGATGTTGGGCTGACTGTTTTGACGGGTGTAAGATTTAGACTCCAAGGGCACTTTATCTCTTGCTCACCTATACTGAACTTAGAACCCTAGCTAAAATTATGATTTTAGTTGTTTCTTAGGGATTATAATATCAAAAAATTAAAAACTAAAATTAAAAACTAATTCAAAATTCCCCTAAATCACCTTGCTTCGGGCTCAGGTGCGAGACTTTAAGATGCCTGAGCTCCCGGCGATTCGTCCTGTACATCGCACTCCGTACCTTCTGTAGATGCCTGGAGACATGTGGGTAGTTGTCAATATTATGGTCCCTTTTTGGGTGCCATAAAATATTAGGTGCCGTATTATCGTAGGTACCCAAAAAGCGACCATAATTTTGATAACCATCCATGTAAGGTCCCAAACTTCTGCAACAACTGTCTGGTTCTTAGTAGGGGCTGGGGGAATGGATCCCTATAGCAGCCCCTCTTTGATTCCCAATAGAAGTCCCCATAACCTCCCCCACTCCCTTCTAAGCACCAGGGAGACAAGGTCTTGGGGAATACGAAGATGATGCCCTAAACCCCTAAACCCCTTAACCCCTAAACCCTGAACCCCTAAACCCTAAACCCCTAAACCCTAAGCAGGGGACCCTCCACTCGACATTCATGGCCTGAGCCCTGCAACCCTCGACCCTAAACTACCCTAACCAGCCAGTGGTTTTGTGGGGGTTCCCCTTACGTCTTTAGCTGCTTATTTAGTAGGGATTAACATCATCCCTGGCTCCTTAGCTCCCCCAATATCAATGGTTAGCTAAGGTAAAAGCCAGAAAGTTGGAATATGATTATCCTAAACCTTTATGGTTAAGGATAAGGTATCCTACCCTGAAACCATATTCCAACTTTCTGGAGTTCCCTTTAAGCCCAAAACCCCCAACCTCCACGCGGGTGAATATTCACGGCTGGCCAAGACTCGCTCCTGGACCCTAAGCAACGTTCAACTTTAGGGGTTAAGGGGTTTAGGGTTTAGGGGTTTAGGGTTTAGGGGTTCAGGGTTTAGGGGTTAAGGGGTTTAGGGGTTTAGGGTTAAGAGGATCGCATGCACAAAGCAAAACAAAGAATCGCCTCTTCGAAGGCTGCTTTCGCTACCGGACTTTCTTCGACCTCTGCTGGGCGAGTCGTGGTTTCTTGTTCTTGGGGTCGGGGGCTTTGGCGGATTTCGGTGGGAGCTTAGCATTTAGGGTCTTGGCCTTGAGGGTTCAGGATTTAAGAGGGTTTAAGGTTTGGGGTTTAGGGTTTGTCCTTTTAATGGGTTCTTTTCCGAGTGCAGCACAGCAACGCAAGGTTTGGGTTTACGGTTTAGGGTTTAATTGGGTGTCAGGCTACGGTTCTCAGAGGGGTTGCTTGTCCCATGACCCCTTTGTGTGGTGTTCAGGGCTTAGGCCTAGGGCTTTGTGGATACGCTTTCGGGCTTCAGAAGGCTCAGTTTAGAACTCAGGGTGTACTCGGAGGTTCATGGGTTCCTTTAAGGGTTCCTTCAAGGGATCTATAGGATTTAGGGTTTAGGGTAGTTATTTGTGGGGATATTTGTCCCCTCATATGGGTCAAAACTATAGTTCCCTTACCTGGGTTGGCCTTCAAACACCCTGAACAATATTTATATATAGGATCCCTTATAAACCCAAATAAGGAAAATAAAAAATGTCCCAAAATCCAACCTAGTTACTCCCCATGAACCTTCAAGTATCGATCGATAGAATGGGTGAGCGAAACAGCTCGGGGCTTCTGCGCCGGATGTACCGGTTGAAGGCCATGCTGTCAGAACGTAACATGGGCTTTACTACTATCAGAGATGCCTACACTACTGTTGATGGACAAAATCCTGCATGACCCTAAGGACTCTAAACTATGGCAACTATGGTATATGCCTTATAATGGGTGATGCAGGATTTTGTCTATCAGCAGTATCTCTTAATCCTCCTGGAAAGCAGGCCACCCCCACCACGGTTTAGGGTTTAGAGTTTAGTGTTGTCCTCCACATCACCCTGAACCGCAACAAGTTGTGTTTTCTAGATTCTAGATCCTCCTGGCGTCCTGGGTCATGAAGAGAACATCGAGACACGCGTGATCAGACTGGGGCCTAGGGCTTATTGACTTATTGTTTCACGTCTTCAGGGCTTACCATAGAAGGTTGGGGAATTACCACTGCTGTCCCATATTCTGAATCGACTTGCAGTTAGGGTTTAGGGCCTCGGGTTGCGAGCTGAGAGCTTTTAGGGGTGTGGCTTTGCGGTTTCGAGGGTTGTAGCTCCTTTACCAAGCACCCGGATTCAAGAAGCAGCCTCCAAACTTAAACCCTCAGCCGCCCTCAGCGTAAACGCAACAGCCTAAAGCTGCAAAGCCCACACCTCCGCAAAATCTGACATTCCGCATCACGACCCTGACAAATTCTACAAGCCTAGAATCCGGGACCTCGTCGAGAAACCTGAATCCTAAAACCCTAAACCCCTAGACCCTAAACTCTAAGTATTCAATAATGTTGGGTAGTTGATTATTCAGGCTTCTATGTGAGAGGGAAGTTGCTGAGCCCAGAACCATCGGCGACAGGACGCTGCTGAAAGGGCTGCCGCAAGGAGCCTGGGATAGTCTCTGCTTAGGCCAGAGACTTCGAAATCCCATAATCAACGAAGATGTCATCGTACTCGGGATCCCTGTATGATTTCAGGTCAACTCCTTTACTGTGGGTGGGTGGGTGGGAGGGTGGGTGGGTGGGTGGCTAGCTGGGTGGCTGGGTAGGTGGCTGGGCGGGTGTGTGGGTGGGTGGACACAACTTCTAGGGTTCTGGGCTCAGTGTTGCGAGTATAGGTTTGGAAATCTGGCTGCCAACCGACCTGTAAGCAGTTTGGCGTTCAAGCGATAGAATCTCGGGAAGTTGCACCCCCAACGGACTGCAAAACCTACATCCGAACATCGCTTCACCTCAAACCCAGTTCTCGACCCAGCAATACCGCCACGTTGCGGCTCGGCCCGTCTATGTGTGCGGCAGTAAAGCTTCCAGGTTTCTGGCCGGCGCCAAGGAACCCGCATAAAACTAGAAGCCCGGTACAGGAAAGTAAGACATAATAAGGCCTGGAAGGCACACGGGCACGACAAGCCCGCAAGGATCATTCGTGAGTGCTTCTGCAACGGTGACAGCGTGCCGGCACTCTCGTCAAAAGCCCTGAATGCCCAACCGCCTTCGGGTTTCCCAAACCCTTAAGTTTAACCTCTGCACACGCATCCCACAACTGGCTCTCATCCCCGTTGTAAGTCTCCTGCATCCAGGGTGTCCATGTCGCCGTCATCTTCCTGGCTGATGGGCGGCACAAGGTTGGACGATGTGACAATCTAATAAAAAGCCGAAGTAATCGGCTTTAGGTGGCTTCTACATCATTTACATTAACAATTTAAGGCTTGATTTCTGACTACAAGTTCATGGCACTTCGTTGTCGGAGCATTGTCAGTTTGTGACTTTGATTACAACACGCTACCAAGACTCGTTGAGTAAGGGATTATCCTTGAATCACGGCGGATCTATACAGTAATAGTTTGGTTTGATGTATACTCCTAACGAGGAAATGATGAGTCCAGGTTGGGTACTCAGCCCCAATTCCGCACGAAGCAACCTAAAAGTGAACACCAACTCTAAACCCTAAACCCCTAAACCCCTAAATCCTAAGCCCCTAAAGCCCTCAACTCCCAAATCATGAGAAATACAACAAAAGCACTATGTCAAACTATCCTAAACCCTGAAACCCGGACCTTAAAAACAAAAACACGATGTCACAAACTATCGCTCGGCACTTACTAACCAGTGGTTTTGGGGGTTCTTTTGGCTCCTTAGCTCCTTATTCAATATGGGCTATCATCATCCCTGGCTCCTTAGCTCCCCCAATATCAGTTGTTAGCTAGTAAGGGTTGTACCATGGTTTAGAGGAATTCTAGAAGCCTCATACGGTTCCTTAGGGTTCATAATGTTTTAGAGGGAAGTATTTAGGGTTCTGAAAAGGTCCCAATATCAATGGATGGCGAGTAAGGGTTGTATCATGGTTTAGAGGGATTGTACCTTAGGGCTTCTAATGTTGTAGAGGGAAGTATTTAGGGTTCTGAAAAGGTCCAAATATCAATGGTTGGCTTACGGCTGCCTCCACGAGCTCACAAAAGAGACCTCGCAGGCGCTCACCTCAGAAACGAAATAGGGTTTGGGGTTTGGAGGGTTTAGGAGTTTAGGCTTTGGGGTTCAGGGTTTAGGGATTTAAAGTTTAGAGGTTGAGGGGTTAGGGTTTAGGGGTTTAGGGGTTTAGGGGTTTAGGGTTTAGGGTTTAGGGTTTAGGGGTTTAGGGCAGCGTCCACGGAGTCGGGGTGAATAGAGAGTCTTTGGCAGGAAAAAAAGGTTCGGGGGGTTATTTACAATCTAGGGCTTCGAGGTTGAAGGTTGTAAGTAAGTTTAGAGGTCTGTAGGATTTTTCTCAGAGACTAAACCCGACTGCTAGGCCCTCAGCTCTAGCCGTGACTCTGTGATCATTACTGTAAAGAAGTTTTTGAACATCCCGAACACCGACACGGATCGAAACGACCGAAAACGTCGGGCGGAGGCAACTCCTCAGCCGAGGAACCTCAAACCAATCAATGTCTTACCCAAGGACTTTAGGGTATACGATGCCCAGCTACTCTGGCGCAGTGGGATGTAAGTGCCCCAGACCGCCACGATTTGCTTCTCGCGGACAGGGCCAGTGCGCTCCAAGCAACCAGCAGCGCTTCCGCAAAGGCCACACGGCCGCACACTGCTCCACCAAAATGGCGCTTCCAGCAGCATCTTGGAACCGAATCGAGCCAAGTCCTTGGCTTCATCACGTTCGGCATCACCACCGGCTCCGTGCCTTCAAGCGCAGCAGCAGCAGCAGCACGAGGACGGCTGATGGCACAAGTTCTGACATCCAACCACTGATGCTCTTCTGCAGGAGCTTTGCAACTCGCAGCATCCTCCATCACGGTCAAAACTCTTGAGACTGTCAACACCGCGTAGTAGGGGCTCAGCATAAGGTGGTCCCCGCATCTGGGGGAGTCTCCGCAAGCTGTGGACAAATAGTTCATCCCCCCCTTCGGTTTGGGGGGTGGGGTGCTCCAAGGTGCCCTCGAATGTGCAATCAGTTGCCCCATGCCCCTTGCCTTGGCAGCAACCTTGGCGATGCTGAAGCGGATGGCTTCGGTGGAAACTTCCCCGCAGCTGCCCCTGCCCGAAAAGCCGTACGGGGGGTACTCACCATCCACAAAATCTCCTGGGCACATCTCTCCCAGTTCTGCCAACCCCATGTGGGAGGCCACCATGCTGGGGCTTGAAATTCGGTCTGGGCCGCCGGGTCCTCGGCTCCTGTCCAGTTGCAGTGCAACCTAGACCTCCAAAGAGTCAGCTTCGGTGTCACCCTTGCCCTAAGAGCCACCTGTCTCTGCACCTGCCCCTCCTAAAACCTCGCAACCCTAACTGAATTCAATCCGTTGCAAACCCATGTGGAGCCTATAACGCCTACTTTGAAACATGCGAACATCAAAGAAAACGTCTACGTAAACCCCAAAAACTCTTCTAACCTAAACTCGAAACCCTAAGCCTTCAACCCTAAACCCGAAGCCCTGGCCGAAACCCTATGATTAGTGATATTTTAAAATTTATTCCGTCACATGCTGCTAGCCCCTAAACCCTAAACCCTAAACCACTTCGAAAGAAGGGGAGAGGCCCGCGCTGACCTGCGACCAACTTTTGACTTCGCCCTCGCACCTGCTTCAGGAGTCTCGGTTCTAACGACGTTACTTGGAGGTTCATGGGGAGTTCTAAGTGAGGTTATATGTAAGGTCACTATAGTTATAACCCAAATTAGGGGACTTACAACTCCACTTATACCTACCCATGAACCTCCAAGTAGTGGATGCTTCAGGGTTTCAGGGTTTAGAAACCTAAAACCCTGACCCTGTCCACTAAACCCACAACTTAACCCCAAACCCCTACAAACTAACCCTGAACCCTTAATATAGGGGCCTCCATAATTATAGGGTTTTAGGGCCCATTCTACCATAATCATTGTAAGGATTGGTGTGAATTTAGGCGCCTATAGTAAGCCCTACAAACTGAACCTTCAGGCCTTAAGAGCTTAGGGCTGGGCTTCAGAAGAACCCGAAGCTTCAGCCGGTGCTTCAGCTTTCTGATAGGGTTTGCTTCTGGGTCCGCATCCTAGGTGTCGGCTCGAATAGTCTCCAAAATTACATACACTCATGGCGCTGTATTAAACAATAAGGGGTTGAACTAAAAACCATGACAAATCGATACCTGGTACAGCGTTCTGCGTTTTATTCTTGCTCTATAGGGGTTTAGGTGGGTTGAGGTTTGGTTTTGTACGGTTTCCGAAAGGGTTCTATAAAGGCTCCATAAGGGTTCTCCTAGGATGCACGAAGGAGCTGTACTTAGAGGATCATGGGACCTAGTAACTAAGCTTATAATTAAGGTAATTATACTTGTAATTACTTATAACCCCACTTGAGGTACTTATAACCATACTTACTAAGTCCCATGATCCTCCAAGTTTAAACGTCTGGAGGCTTCGGCTCGGCCCTTGCGAAGAAATTCAAAACCTAAACCCAACGCCTTGAACCCTAAATCCTCCACGCTAATCCCTAAACCTTCAAGTTGCAATGGATAGGAACACCTGCTACTGTTAGTTGAATGTGGGCTTGCACTCCGCTCATTAACCACAGGAACGCCTTGTAGAATCTTTGCGAAGCCTAATTTCTCAAAGAAGTGCTAAAGCAATCAAAACAATCATAAGACTGCCACAGAAATTCCGCCCAAGCAGTGCTTAAACAAACCACAGAAAATATAACTTCAAAAGCCTAGACTCTAACCTCTTTGAGTTAGAAACAAGCCAAAACTCCTGCCCTTTGTGGGCCTGCTCGGACCGACCTCGCCCTCGGAGTCGCAGTCCGCGAGGTCGGCCTCGCCTTTTCGAAGCGGAGGAAACGGGGGCGTTCACTTAGGGGCTGCACCTGAAGGTTTAGGGTATATGAATTAAGGCTTGTGGGGTTTAGGGCTAGGGTTTAGGGCGTTTTTGAAGCGGAGGGAGGGAGGGGGGGGGGGCAGATACTGAAAGGTAGCTCTAAGTTTAGGGGCTCGTTTTAAGGGCTCCTGCGGGGATATGACATGCCGCTGCATCTTCGCATCTTCGCATGCATGAAGGAGCTGCTGGGCTGAGTTGTTGTTGTCGTCCAACAACTGCTCCACTTGGTCCAACACGTCGTCATTTGTCAAGTGAGCAGTGCCCATAAGTTTGAAAAGACCTTCTAACTGCATGAAGAAGCGCTTGCAACGCGCAAGTGTTCCCTGGGGCGGGACTCCTTTGTGGAGAGCAAAAGCTCCCAAGTTGAAAAAATACAGATTGCCTTCGTGGCAACGCATGTGCCTTTCTCCTTCAATAATCCAGAGCAGCATCACCAGTTCTGTCAACCGCAATCTGTACTCGGTGACAGCGCCCGTGCAAAGCCTGACCAAAGCTTCGTTCACGCTTGGAAACCTGCGAGCGACGCTGGCCCTGATACGAGACACTTTCTGCGGTGTGCTAGGTTCATCTTCGCACGCAAGCTGGGGCACATCTGCCAGACCATGGATCACCGAAGAAACTTTGGAAACTGTCCATAGTGGTGTCCGCACCAGGCAGAAGCCATCTTTTTCTAGCCTGCTCCAACCTGACGCTCTGCTCACCAGAGTCGACCTCCATAGCCTCTTCACTCGTGACTGACTCCATCGCCCTTCTCGGAGTTGTTGACTTCAGCTAGAAAAGTGTCTTGTCTGGCTACAATGGCCTGGTCCAGGTGTTTCTCGCCGGTTTCCGACCGGACGCAACACATCTGGGATCGCAGATGCCTGGCTTGCACCAACCGCCACATCATACACTGCGTGCTCATGCGCCAAGTGCATGCGCTGAACGATCGCAAAGGAGTTGTCAGCACGATCAAGAGTTGCTGCAAACTCTGCTGTTGTGGCATCGGCTCCTGGCAACAGCCTCCTGTTGCGGGCAGTTTCCAGTGTCAGCCGCCTCTTTGCTTTCTCTCTCCTGTGCATGCAGCATTACTTCCAGTTCCTGTGTGATCTTTGGCTCAGGGTTGTCGTCCACTGAGGCCGCCTCATCTTCCCCAAGAGCTGGTTCCATAGCGTCCATCCTTTCATCCTCATCCGGACGATGACCGACTTCTGGCGTGAGGCTTTCTTCGTGCGAGGCACCCCCACATACATCCACGACACCCAGTTCACTCGCCCCAGCTGCTTGCGACTTGGAAGAAACATCTCTGCACACATCCTCAGGCAAAGACTTCTTTATTATATCACGCTTGCCATGTCGTCCGGTCGGAAAGACGTGCTCGATAAGAAAAGCGATGAGGCCGTGCATCCACCCTTGGTGGGGCTGCTTTGTTTTTGAAGGATGCTCCACGTCGGAAACCAGGAGTGCCTGCACTGCTTTTCTGCATCGCAGTAATGTGTGGACGTACATGTAGAGAATGTATGCTTTTTGAAGGTATTCTGTCTTGAGAAGTCTGATCAGTTTTCTGGCTTCGGACATTGTTTTTTCCCATTGCCTCTTGCTGCGATAGGCGACACTGTCAGGGTCCGGAATCAGATACATGGCGGTGGGATAATCCTGAAAGAAATCCATATTTTGATAGATCATACCGGCAACAACTCTGAGACGGTGCTCTTGGCGATCTTTCATGTCCGACCCAGAAATAGATCCTCCTTCAACATCCATGCATCGATTGCTGGAGGCAGTTTCCAGACAGCTGCTCTTCACCACGTCACCCGCACCGTTCACGATCCTGATGGCTCTCCGCATGTCAAGACACCATCTCTCCCAGCATCTCTTGCTGATGCTAGTGTCAAAAGGAGACGGCCAAAGAGAGAAGTCCACAACGTCGGCATGCGGGATCAACTCCACTAGGAGCACTATCTGGGCGAAGAGCCGTTTCGAGCAGCGGTCCAAATCAGCTGTGGTACATCCTTGTCGCTGCTTCAAGAGGATGTTACGTGGCATCACCTGGCTGGCTGCGCGACAGTGCTGCAACGCAGAACTCAGCCAGAAACACCAATGGTGATCGTTGTCTGGCGAAGAAAAAGGTGATGGAAACAACCTCCAAAGACGAGGGAATGCGGTGACTTCATGAATATTCTGTAGGGCCCAGTGCTTCAGAAGCATCACTCTGTCAAAGAACAGATATTCTCGTATAGCCTTGGCCAGAGTGTCTGGGAGCTGCGCATCACTACCTCCCCTTACGTCACACCATGCGTGCAGCATGTCCTCGGTTTCTTTCTCAAGCCTGGGGACATCGTCGACAAAGGCTTCCGGATAGTGTTCAGGGTGACAGCAAACTACCAACATGCGTGAAACTCGGAGATTGTAATTCTTCTCCAATATATGTCGGTAGACGTTCAACTGTAGTCTGTAGTGCATCCCTGCACAGTCTGCAATGACAGCACGCCAGTTACCATCATTTCCTGCAGCAGCGTAGCTAAAGGACCTTGGCACCTATGATTATAGTCTCGCAGGATACAGAGAGTTCTGCCGCCCTTGAAGGAGGAGTTGGTTTGAGGGTTGTCGCTGGATTTGCAGGCACGCTTCTCTGACGCATCTGGCGGCACCGCTGCAGACGACTCGTCATCCAAGGCCAAGGGAGTGGCACGTACAGGAGGCAATTGATTGAGATCGCCACTGCACTCTACTTAGAGGATCATGGGACTTAGTAAGTAGGTTATAATTGGGGTTATAAGTCCCCTAAGTGGGGTTATCCTAATTATAACCTACTTATAACCTTACTTACCAAGTCCCATGAGCCTTCAAGTAAGGCAACACCACCCCAATTTGCGTCAGAGTTAGGTCCGAGCATTTTACCCTCCGCCCGCACACCCAGAGACTCCAATATCCCTTAATTAAGGAGTATTTCCTAAATTAGAGTAGGATCCCTAATTTGGTTTAAGGTATATTCCTTAATTAAGGGATATTGGAGTCTCTGGGCATGGATATTTCATCGATGCGGAGTGTCCGAACGCGCTTGCCAACGCTGCTGGAGAGTTTCCCGACTGGCACGAGAAAGGACAGAGTTTCTATACTTGGGCCTTTTAGGGTTCCCATAAGGGGCTATAAGTGGGTCTAGGTTTTTCGATTTAGGGTTCATGGGTAGCGACAAGTGGGGTTAAAGTAGGGCAACCCATATTAGCGGACTCCCAGCTCCATCTCTAACTACCCATGAATCTCCAAGTAGTGGGTAGGGTTTTAAGAAACAGAGGTTTTTGGTTCAGGGCTTACGGTTTACGGCTTTAGGGGTTTGGGGTGTGATATCGGGGCCTTCAGCATTGGAACTGGGTTCTGGGGTATATCATACTGTAAGTATAATCAAGAATCCCCAAATCGTGTCGCTACTTATTCCGGCTTCTATATCAGGTCTTCTGTTGTTTCTTTACAGGGCTTAAGTGCCTTGGGGTGTATGGCTTTAGGGTTTGAAGGGGGCTAGCTTAGGGGCTTTAAGGTTTTATTCATGGTCTGCCAACAGGTACACTGTCCGGTCTTAATGTGGGAAAGAAGGCAAGGTCAAAGTAATACGACACCGTTCAGAATCCAGCGCTGGTTAGACTTGCGCGTGGGTAAAGGAGGGCGGTCAGCCTCAGGAGTACCTCGAGGTTCATGGGTAGTTATAAGTCGGGTTATAAGTCCCCTAATATGGCTTATGACTATAGCTACCTTACTTATAACCCACTTATACTCCCCATGAACCTCTAAGTAGCATAGGAAGGGGACCAAAAAAGGCAACTTGTCCCGAAGGGTTCTTGCTCGCTTCTGCTCAAGACTCAAACCTCCTTCTTCGTTGGAAGTCGTGGAATGATGATGCATTTTGGGGCATCCACATTCAACGAAAAAGCCCGACTTGAACATCGAACATCGTCTTGAGTCGCATGGAGCTGCCTAAACCCCGAGAAGTAAACCCTCTGAGGGCTCAACTCCTTAAAGTGGGTTCCTTTTACAGTAGAAGCCAGAAAGTTGGAATATCATTATCGTAACCCCTTTAAGGTAAATTATAGGGGATCCTACCATTAATCCATATTCCAACTTTCTGGAGTTCCTTTTCAGGGGTTCCAAAAAAATCGCACGGTCCAGGCCTGGAGCTGTTGACTCGGTAGGGCAAACGCCTCGGCAGCAAGGACGGTTAGAGCCATCTCGGTGATTTAGGGTGGGTTCCCAAACTACAGGGTGCCGCAGCGTAGAATTACACAGGGTCCCGCAAGGAAACATGATTCTGACATCTACATCGGGTACGGCCCCCACTCAGTAATAGTTGAATAATATTCATAATATAGATATAGTAGGATCTTAATAGTAGCCCGATTATAGACTCTTACTGTATGGGGGCCGTACCTAACATCTACACATCTGGAGGATCGGGCCCCATCTTGCTTCGAGGATCTTTACAAAGCGCCTGCATATGGGAGTTTCCGAAAATTGGGGGTTACCTTATTTGGGGTCCTTATAATAAGGATCCTACTATTCAGGGTACTATATTGGGGTCCCCTTTTTTCGGAAACTCCCATATGTACATTGTGGTACTGTAGGGCTCTCAAGGGTACTCAAAGGGTCAGGGGACGTCACCTTACTTAAAGGTTCCTGAGACGTCATCTATGAAATGTTTAAACGACTTAGTCTTACTTAATGTCTCGGGGATGTCGGGCTCAATCTTGCCCGAGACCTGAAACGACCACCGGAGCTACCGGTTGATGATATAAATCCTGCATTACCCATAATGAAGAATATGCCATAATTCCCATAGTTTAGGGTCCTGAAGGTAATGCAGGATTTATATCATCAACCGTACGCTCTTTCTACATACCAGAAATCATCTGCACTCTAATTACCCATTACGTCCCCAGAACCCCCAATCAACAAACCTACAAAAAAAGAGCCCAAAACCCACTCAGAGGAGAAGTGTCGGGGTGTCGAGGGCTTGAGAAGGTAGAGTTTAGGGCACCCTGTAATAGTGACTACAAGGATTATATATGATTATATTAGGGCCCTATGATATTCCTACTATACCACTATTACAGGGTGGGGGCAGCTTCTAAGGTCTCGGGTTTAGGGTTGAGGGTTTTGGCTGTAGGGCCTTCACGACCTAGGGCTAGGATGCGAAATCCTAACCCCTAAACCCTACCTGTAGCCGAAAAGACCTACCGTTTACGGGGCTCCTTTTTGTGGTTTCTATACATAGTTCCTTAAAGCGGTAGGTCTTCTCGGCTACAGGTACACCCGACATCCTGAACCTGACAGACACCCTAAAGGCCCTAAATCCTACACCCCAAACCCTTGTAGCAACCCTTTTAAAATCTGTATAGTAACCCTTACAGATTCTTATAGATCCCTTCAAAGGAACCCCCTTCAAGTAGGACCCAGGTCCCTGGCTGGACGGGGTCGGCGAGTAGATGCGCGCCGAGATGGCCGAGGAGGCCTCCGTCTCGTATGAAAACTGGCAAGTGGAAGTTCATGGGTAGTTATACATGCAGTTTTAAGTCCCCTAATATGAATTAGAACTATAGTTACCCTACTTATAAACCCCGCTTGTATAACTACCCATGTAGTAGTAGTAGTAGTAGTAGTAGTAGTAGTAGTAGTAGTAGTAGTAGTAGTAGTAGTAGTAGTAGTAGTAGTAGTAGTAGTAGTAGTAGTAGTAGTAGCGATAGCAGTAGCAGTAGCAGTAGCAGTAGTAGTAGTAGGAGGAGTAGGAGTAGGAGTAGGAGTAGGAGTGGGAGTAGGAGTAGGAGTAGGAGTAGGAGTCGGAGTAGGAGTAGGAGTAGGAGTAGGAGTAGGAGTAGGAGTAGGAGTAGGAGTAGGAGTAGGAGTAGGAGTAGGAGTAGTAGTAGTAGTAGCAGCAGTAGCAGCAGTAGCAGCAGTAGCAGCAGTAGCAGCAGTAGCAGCAGTAGCAGTGGGAGCAGCAGCAACGGACGGAGTAGCAGCTGTAATAGTAGTAGCAGTACAAGAAGTAGTAGTAGTAGTAGTAGTAGTAGTAGTAGTAGTAGTAGTAGTAGTAGTAGTAGTAGTAGTAGTAGTAGTAGTAGTAGTAGGTGGCAGTAGCAGTAGTAGCAGTAGTAGCAGTAGTAGCAGTAGTAGCAGTAGTAGCAGTAGTAGCAGTAGTAGCAGTAGTAGCAGTAGTAGCAGTAGTAGCAGTCGTAGCAGTAGTAGCAGTAGTAGCAGTAGTAGCAGTAGTATCAGTAGTGGCAGTAGCAGTACTACTCATCTGAAGCTCTGCTTCGCTTAAGTTGAGCTACAGCTTGGTCAATCAACAAACTTCTCTACGCCCCATGATTCTTCAATGACTGCTATCCATACCTCTACGCAGCATGTGCCGCAGAACAATTCATGCGCACCGTCCGCAGGCAGGAAATGCGCGTTCCCTGCCACCACCAAACCCGAGGACGCAACTTGAGTACAAGAAGAAGCGCTGGCTAAACAAGTTGTGTGGGCAAAGCGAGCGGTATCGGCGGTGGGTTTAGCCCCCTTGCGTACGCGCTCACGCATCAAACTGCCTGAAACCCGCGAATTCTTCAAGTGTTCGAGGGTCAGGCACCAAAACATGGGGCTGGGATTTTTGGCCTGTTCCTGTCGTCCGAAGGCAGTGCCTTGATGGCGTGGTTGCTCCCTTTGTGCCAAGTACGAACATGGATTTCGTCGAGTCGTGGCACGCTTCCAACACAGAAACACTGAGTTTCAGACCGAGGAAAAACCGATGAAGAATGCTGCTTTGGTAGCGGGCTTTACAATACCAAGTGCTTCTCTCTTGCACCGCACGCACGTGAACACAGGTGCAGAGCGCTGTTCTTGCTGATCCGACCCCAACTGCCAATCAAGACTAAACATGATCAGGGCTTCTGTGTTGAACACGTATCTACTGCCCCAACTGTGCTCACGCAGCTGAGTGCGCAGCAGACCCAAAAAACCCTAAAGAACCTATGTTCCCTGACAGCCTTAAGACCTCAAAAGCACTAAAGGCGCGCAAGAAAACAAAAAAAAAAAAAGCCCTGCGACCCTAGGCTAAGCTTGAAGAGCCGCAACCTCTTAGCAGCACCCGTCCCGTCCCGGCATCGCCTTCATGGTGCGCGTCATAGCAAATGCCATGCTTCAGTTCCTCACAGAAACCCGACACCCCGAAGAACTATCGCTGGAAGAGGTTTAGGAGCTTGGGGCATCGGCCGCTTGCACCGACAGCAGGTTTAAATCCTTCCAACCAGATTCATGGCAATCTGACTTCATGCTGGTCCCTACAAAAGGAAGTAGGCTTCCAGAGTTTACCCAAAACCCTCTAAACCCTAAACCTTTGTTACACCCGTATACAGGCGGACAAATCCTTCTAAACCCTTCGTAGAGGCCTTCGAGAACTCACTGCAAAACCCTACCCGAACCAAGAAAGAACCTTCGGCCTACTCGGAGGTTCGTGGGTAGGTATAAGTGGGCTTATAAGTAGGGTATCTATAGTAATAACCCATATTCGGAGACTTCTAACCCGACTTATAACTACCCATGAACGTCCAAGTAAGCCTTAAACTTAAACCCCTACCTGGACCTAGGTATCAATAGTTGTAACCCATTTTAGGAAACTTATAGTTAGCTCCATTTACAACTGCCCATGAACCTCCAAGCAAAGCTATACGGGAGTTTCCGAAAATAGGGGACCCAAATAAAGTACCCGAAACAGTAGGATCCTTGTTTTAAGGACCCCAAATAACGTATCCCGGATTTTCGGAAACTCCCTTACCGATTAAGCCCTAAACCCTGAACCCGGCGGGGCCTCGGGCGGTGTGCAGCTCTTGGCGATGCACTACTCGGAGCCCAGGCCAAGCAGGAAAGACACGGCGGCGTAGTAGTAGTAGTAGTAGTAGTAGTAGAAGTAGTAGTAGTAGTAGTAGTAGAAGTAGTAGTAGTAGTAGTAGTAGTAGAAGTAGTAGTAGTAGTAGTAGCAGTAGTAGTAGTAGTAGCAGCAGTAGCATGAGCCAGTACTCAAGGTTTAGGGCTCGCACCTTCAGGATTTAGGGGCAAAAAAGGGGCCTTGCGAGTTACCAGTACTATGATGGGGTTCCCTATTACATATAGTTATAGTATAATATACCCCCAAACCCTGTTCAAATTTTTGAGGCCCCTTCAGTAGGGTTTAAGGTTTAGGGTTCAGGGTTCAGGGTTTCGTGGGAAAGAACCCACAGATTTTCATTTCATGGCATTCGAACGGGCGCCGGACCCAAGCCTGCATACTTGAACCCAGGGTTTTACTTGGGCTTCTCCACAGTACGGTGGGCTTCTAAAGTAACCAATGAGAAAAAAGTACAAACTTGTATTTCATAATGGTTCCTTTCAGAGAAAAAAGTATTAAAGTACGGTACTCCAAAGCCCAGTACGATAACCCCCCTTAAAAGCATAATAAACGCACTACTGCTATGCAAAAAGCCATGCAAAACCCTAGTTGACCCTCTTCCAAAGCTCTTCTAAAACCCTATAGACACGCTTGTAGAATCCTTACTTTTAATAAATAAGACTCTGGTAGACCCTCTGAAAGAACCCTCTAAAGCCACAATAGAAAATTTACGAACTTTTATGGAACCCATACACAAAACTCCATAAAACCCTTCTTAAACCTTCTAGTGCCCTTCTAAAACCCCCTAAACTCCTTCTACTACCCTCCTAAAACCCTAAAACCACGACGGAAACACTTACAAAAACCCTTCCCCACCCCAAATAAAGAAATAGAAAACACAAAAACACAAAACTCTTAAACATCTCACAAACAGCCTGAAGGTTCCATCCAGGCTCGACTCCCCCGTCCCCACTCCGAAGATCGAAATCCTACGGCCTGGCCTCGTCGGGGACGCCCCCGGGACGCCACCTGCGAGTTTCCGAAAGAGGTACCTTAGGGTTCCCTTAAAGGGTTACTAAAAAGGGTATTACAAGGGTTCCTTTGAAGGGCTCTATAAGGTTTTGGAGTTTCCGAAAATGAGGGGTACCTTATGTTGGGGTCCTTACAAAAAGGATCCTAGTATTTCGGGTACTATATTAGGGCCCCCTATGTTCGGAAACTCCCACCTGTTGCATTTCGGGATGGATTCAGTTTCAGGGTTCAGGAATGTTTCAAGGTTCAGGGTTTAGGGTTTGGCTAGTTTCTCTTATGTTCTATGCCACTTTCTCATATATGGTTCTATATGTTCTGATACAACTCCTGGTCCTACTACAGGGACCCAGACCATTAGAACAGGGTCTCTGTGAGCAGGTTCCTTTAAAGGTTCTAGAGGGGATGTAGGGTTTGATATAGGGGCCTAAACAAGTAAAAAATTGCTTTAGTGTTGGCATCACATTGAAAGCTATTTCGATTCCATGTGACTTAGGGCTCAGGGGGCATAGAAGGTGTGTATGAAGGCGTTGTAAAGGTCGCTGTGATTTCTATAAGGCTTTGCATTACGAGGGTCTCTATACGGGTCTTATAAGGCTTACAAATTATAAGGGTAGCTAGCGCATTACAAAGCTTAGTAAGTAGGTTAGAAGTGAGCTTATGGGTAGGCTAACACCCTTTACAATACTTGCAACTCTACTTCTAACTTGATTAATACGTCTTTTGATCCTTTATCGCGCAAGGTCTGCACAAGGGTTTCACAAGGGTTGCATGCAAGGGTTCTCAGAAGGTTGTATGTACGGCGGTAGGGCTTTAGGTATTGGGTGTCCAGCCTGGATTTGGGGTGTTAGGATTCAGATGCTGCTTATTTCCATTTTGACGGCTATGTCCTTAATATGCTTGCTACTGTTTCTATAGCTACCGGAAACTGAAGTAACCGGGGAGAAAAAAGTATAGACTTTTGTTTCATAATGGTTCCCTTAAGGAACAGGTACCAAAAAAAGTATTCAAGTATGGTACTCCAAACCCAGGGCTACGGATTAAGACAATGATTCAGGCCGTGCTCGAGGCAAACGCAGACTTGTTGCCAAGCGGAGGTTGGCCCACTCGCCCACCATGGTCGTAGCAAGAACAATAATACATTATAGAGAATATGAGCTCTAATAATTACAACACGAAGAAGAGTAAGAATAGAAATGGTGATAACAACAATAAAAATGACAATAGTAATAGCAATAATAGAACGAATGCTACTAGTACTGCTAGTGGCAATAACAAACAATAATTCTTGTATTCGCTACAACACATGTAACTAGTGTAGGCATGATATAGTCGTAAAAGTGGAAAGAGTCATCACCATCGCCATCATTATCATCATCATTATCACTCTATGGCTGTTCGCAGGATCCGTTTTCTGGCTATGGAGGAGAAACTGTTGCTGATCGGGCTTTAGGGCGATTTGTTGAGAGTTTAGTTTCTAGGGATTGCTGAGAAGGATTTTGGGCTTCAGAAATGGAGTTTGATACTTGCTGACAGGGACAACCGTGCTTAAAGCCAGTTCTATTCCCTCGGGTTGCTCGCAGCGAATCACCGCAAATAATAAATCCTAAAACCCCCAAAAAACCTAGCAAAGGGCTGACAGTTTCAACACCTCAAACATCCTTACGTAAAACCTCACAATGATTCTAAAACCTCACAATGATTCAAATGGGTGGTTGTCAAAATGATGGTCCCTTTTTGGGAACCCTACATATTAGGTGCCGTACAATATTAGGGACCCAAAAAGGTACCCTAATTTTGACAACCACCCAAATAAAAGGAAACATACCCCAAACCCTAAACCCTAACCCTACGCCCTAACCCTAAACCCAAAACCCCTTAACCCCTAAACCCTAAACCCTAAACCCCTAAAGCCCTAAACCCCAAACGCTGCGATGCAGCTCCGGGTGTCAGACAGAAGGTCCCGGATAATCGGATCATCTGCCGCCTCGGGTAGGGGTCGTCTCGGGCGTTCTGCTAGGGCTTTGGTCTTTTGGGGTTTAGGGTTTGGGGTGTTGGGTTTTGGGTTTAGGTGTTAGAGTGTTCGGGTTTAGGGTGTTAGGGTTTAGGGTTTTGGGTTTAGGTGTTAGGGTGTTAGGGCGTCAGGTTCCGAGCTTCCGGGTTTCAGGCATTAGGGGCGCCTGTAAGCGTCTATGGCTTGGGGCCTGACGATGATAATGATGCTGATGACGACGACGGTGATCACGATAATGCTCAGGTGGAGTAAGACTACACTTCTTAAAGTCTCACACAACATAACTATGACTATGATCATTAGCACCACCACATGACCAACCACATGAACAGAATCACCACGTCGACGTCTGCTTTAGTTAGCAGGGCTCCCAACATTCCGTCTTAACCGGGGGTCACTTCTCCTCTCAGGCAGTCAACACCGAGGCCACAACTTGACCTACAGCAACTCTTACAGGAACCCTTTAAGGGACTTCAAAGGAACGTTAAAAGGAAACTCAAAAACCCAAAACCCTAGAACCCAAAAACCCCAAAAACCCAAAGCCCCAACATCCAAACCCCTAAACCCTCAACCCTTCCGTAAACGAAACGAGCGCGCACGGACACCTCGTGGAGGAACGGCACCATCCGCGTCAGCAGACGCACCGAAGTGTATGCGGCCTAGGGAGTTTGCGGGTGTGGGGTTCAGGGTTTAGGGTTTAGGGGTTTAGGGTTTGGGATATAGGGTTTAGGGGTTTAGGGTTTAGGGCTTAGGGTTCGCCAGCGCAGTTTTTGGACTGCGCAAGGCGCCCTGGGCACTTGTGCCGGGGCGAAGCGTTACGTAGTTCAGCTTCCTTTAAGGGGGCTGCTGCTTAAACGGTAAAACAATTTGCTAAAATCGGGTTTGTAGTTTTAGTGTTTGCGGTGTGGGGACTCGGGGTCCTGGGACTGGAATTTGGGAATTGGTGGGACTGGAATTGAGGATTCGGGGCCTGGGGGGCCTGGTGGAATTGGAATTGGGGATTTGGGGCTGGGATTTGGACTGGACTGGAGTTGGGGATTTGGGACTGGAATTAATTGCGGATTGTAATTGGGGACTTGGAGCTGCCAAAGCTTGGAATTGGGGATTTGGGGCCTGGAGGCCTGGATTTGGGGCCTTGGGGATTTGGGATTTGGGGGACTGGAATTGGGGATTTGGGGTTTGAAGGACTGGAACTGGGGATTCGGAGCCGCCAACGCCTGGAATTGGGGA